CAGAAACTTCAGCACTACTTTATAGAAATGGTACGAAACATGCAGAGAAAGACGAATATTCCATTTAAAGAACTGTAAAAAAAAAAAAAATTATATCAGGTTTGAACGAAACGTCTCAGAAATGGTCTGATGTAGTTTTGTTTTCTTACGAATCGTCTCGGAAGTTACTCTTCGCCGTCTTTCAGTTTACTATTGAAGTTAACCTTTTATCGACATTCGAATATTTTCTCTGAATAGTCTACTGTGATATATTCAAATTACGAATATAAAAATCGATTTAAAGCAGAAAAAATTATGGGATTCAAGTGACCAAAAGTTAAAATCGTGAAGAGGTACAGAGGCCTAACTGAAGAAGCTACAAAACTAAATAAGCGACGAAAAATTCGGATAATCGAATTGTTAGAAATGAATTCGTTTAATACTTTAACAATTCATAGGATTTAGAAATGTTTTCTTACCTTTCGATAAACATGTCTTATGATATAAAGAAATATCGAAGCTGTATTCCAAAATTCCAGATAGCTGGTCGCCATATTGAAAAGTAAAAAAATGATGTCATTGTGCCAGCAAAAGTCAGTGGTAACTTCCAAATATGGTAATAAAAGGTCAAAGGTGAACAATTGATTATCCATAAACCGGGCCTAATGAAAAGTAGTGTAAAATTTTGTCAGGTGATGGGGCCAGCAAGGTCAAGCCCAGGTTAAGTCAATAGCCTGACTATATGAATGCCGCGCGCGGACCTATGAGAGGCCCTCACATTTGATTTTACGAATTTGACCAAATACCTGATACGTTCAAAATCCTTCTTTCGCGTTGAAATGGGGTTTTGAGCCTAAGACATCTTTCCCAATAGTCAAAATTGGTTAAATTTTCAAAATAAGGCAAGGGGAAAGGTTTTAATTTGACCCACTTCACTAGCTTTATCGCTTGCCATTGTAAACGTATGGCGCGAGCGCGGACCTATGAGAGGCCCTCACATTTCTTAACTTGAAACAGTCGTACGACTGCAGAAAATTCAATAGTAGCCTACACAACAGAATTCAGTGATAGAAAAACGATTTTGGGGCAGTGGGGCAAAAATTTGTAAATTTCATGGGGTTTAGGGTTGATCGGTAGGGTGTAAGGTGTGATTTGTGATAACAGTATACTGAATAGCCTCTACATACACAAAACTCATTTTCAAACGCTATAACTATAGCTATACATCTTTTCAATTTTTCTCTATAGACAAGGGTGTTTGTTGACAGTTTGGGGGTAGGGGGCTGGAGGACATTTTTTCTATTTTTCGCTTTGATTTAGTTGTATGAAAAGACTGTTTTCACTCTTTTTGGG